TTCGTTGAAATGGTATAGAATACTTGAAAAACAATATACTTAATTCGATCAGAAAACTCTGTTTCTCTTCAAGAGATTGCCAATATTAATACCCAATTATTTATTTAACCATTTTTTCGTAGTAACTATATTTTATAGGTCAGCCAAAACTTCTTTTGAGCATCCTAGCGTACACACTTGTAAAACGCACATGCATAGATACCGACTATATTGAACGTCTAAATATATTCAAAGCATTATCAGTATGCATAGCAATTACATCTTTTGCGCGTGCAATCGTCTAGCTGTCGTCTGACTGTGATGACCAGCTGTGGCATCACCACCATAAACAAACCACTATCACCACACACACACATCCACCTCCAGCAGTCAACTTAATTAAACAGCCACTGGCTGCATGTTGCTCTCATACGCCATGTGTGGTCATTATAGAGTCATTTGATTTCATATTCTGACGCTACTGGACTGGACTACTACTACTACCAGCCTACGTATGCATGTTTAATATTGTGGAAAATGAACACCAGCAGCGGTGCATTTGTGTCGTGCAGCAGCGTATATATCGGCGAACATGGATCGAAATAGTACATATGATTCATAGAGATGCATACATGAGTAAATATTAATTTCAGTATACCCATTTTTCTGGCCGCAAGCTCTTCAAATACAAAATAATTTGGTCAAAATGAGCATTCATGTCTGCTATTCACATATTTTTATATATATGTACATAGGTATGTGTGAACATTCCACTTCGTTCACATATGTAATTGTAATTTACGGAATTGAAATTATTATCCAGAGCCATATACGCGGCTAGCTGCTAATTTAACTTAATAATAAACGATTTAATCTGTGCAAACGCAACTATTTATATGGTTATACGTGGATGATAGACGCACGTGCCAGCTAAGGCATATAAGTAAATTAAGTTCAAAATATGAGAATTGCTTACATTTTACTTTTTCTCTATCAAGTGAGATTATGCATAGTTAAAGGGTTTATACAAAATTTTTTGACTTTAGCGATTTACTTTAGAACGAATTTGGTTTCCGGTAGAATAAATTATATATTAGAAGTTAAGTAGTGATGATAACGATAACTATAAGGTTAAGCAGATTAGGCTATCTTGGCTGCACTCATCCGGCACAAGAAAAGAAAGTACTCAGGCCACCATGGCGCCTTGTTGAAGCCATATTAGATACTTATTTCGTCCCTCCTCAGTAATGTTCTAAGCTTTCGATTTACCATCAGACTCTGCCCGGTGAGAATTCCAATTACATGCTGGTGCCGGGAGGTGAAATGGGGGCCGGGAGATCTGCGCTTATCCAAATTCGGCCAAATGTGTGTTGCTCTGCAGACCATCTTAAATTTGTTATCGCGATAAAACTAATTTCCATCCAGAGTTCGCAAGAAGAGGTGCAGATCGCAGACAATGAGGTGCCTTTCCTCGTCAATTCATCTGCAATTTAGTTTCCCATCTACATTGTATAACCATCTTCGAAGTAGATTTATGACAATTTTGTGTTTTATTTACTGCCTGGTTATTCGATAAGATATCTGTCACCCCTTCGGTATGAAAAGAATCTGAGACAAGGTTTATAGACTAAGATAAGGAGCGGGCATAAAACTTCGGATGCTGAATGAATTTTGACAGGGAAAATAACGTTGATACCAACTCGCATCCATTTGGCAAATAAGATTATGTGTCAATTATTTTCATTTCTGCTAAAGCCTGTTCTGGTACACAAAAATCAAGCTACTGATGAACAAAAGCAACTGGTAAATGAAGAAGGAATGAGTGAGGAAAGAGTATTACTCATACGCCATGTACACCTGGGTAACACGCTCTTCTGCTCATATTTCATAATAAAAAAGCTTTACGCATTTTCATTTGACTTTCATTCCTTTCTTATTTATCAGTCGATTCTCCTCATTGCATCATTTTTTCAAAAATTAACAAAGAAATCTTTTTTTCCCGGAAATCCAGAATTATTTGTTAATTTCTCAGAAACTATCAGACCTATCGCAAAGTAGTGCATATACGGATTACGAGGAATTTTGTTGGCCTTCATTTTCCGTATTACATATTAAAATTTTTAAATATTCATAAGATGTACCTGATTAAGGGCAACCACTTTTTTAAAGCTGAATAACGATAAATTGGAAATATCTCGGAAACTTATCCATAGAAAAAAAATAGATTTTCGGAATCATCCAGCAATTCTACATAGGAATTGGATAGTGACATCCAATAGACAAAAAATAAAAAAAAATTTGATCCAATTTTACAGTGTACGAGAATACCCATTATTATATTTTCATTACTAATGTGCATTTTCTTTTTTTGTTTAATTTATAAATGCGAAATGCTTTTAATTAAAATAAAATATAACCAAATTAACAGGAGAATACAAAATTTTATTCGACATGAAAAAACAAAAATTATCATATATTTCATGTGTGTACTTACTAAATANAACAATTTATTTTCATCATCTGCCATATTTTACGTACATATGTACATATTAATTGCTTGGCTAACAAAATTATACTCGTAATATTAAAGCAGTGCAAACTTAACAAAGTTAAATGACTACCAGTGAATTATTCGTAGAATTCAACTAGAAATTTTACAGAGTTTAGCTTTTGGCTTTTTACATAATAAATACATAAATGTTCACACAAAAACATAAATATTTTTGTATGTTATATTTACACACAAATTGCTATGTGTATGTGGTTAGAAAAATTGCTTGCAGCGTGTGAATTTAATGTGTCCGAAATCTGACAATTTATATTCAAAATTATTTAGGAATGTCAAGCTTGCTACCATTAAACTACATTGAATAAATGGGTTTTTGGCTAAATAGCTTAAAAATTTATTTATTTTTTCTAGGAAGTAAAAGATTTTAAAGCACCATATCTCCGACAATACATGTATTTATTCAAAAAGTTGCCAAATTGCTTAAAAATAAGGTTCGTATTTCAAAATGGACATCCAGATGTCTATTTTTTATGAAATTTGTGTCTTTAGTTCTGATAAGAGAAAAGTGACACGCAAGCTCGTGGAAAATTGTGAAGTGTATACCATGATGTCTGTCTGTTTTGACGCGCATCACTCGAAAACTAATCCATAAAATTGAATGCAGTTTCCGCCAATGTATTGCTAGGGGTCTAACTTAAACTATAGAAAGAAAAAAAATTAGAGAGTTGCCACCTGTTTGAAAATTTCAGTTTAAGATAGACAAAATATAGAAAATATCGCAATATGGCTGCCAAAAGAAAGAGGTTTAAGAAATCTCACAGCCAAAAATATTTTTGCGAAGGTTGCCACATGTTTAACAATTTGAATTTAATTTAATTGATAAGATAAATAAAATATTGCAATATATGTAGGTATCAAACTGACAAGGTTTAGAAAAGTTTGCTGCCGAAAATATTTTTTAGGAAGGTTGCCACCTGTTTGAAAAATTGTATTTAACTAAATTGATGAAATAAATGAAATATTACAAAAGGGGTATCAAACAACATAAAAATACTTTTAAGGAGCAGTGAAGCATGCCTGGTATTGGCTAGCTAATAATATAAAAAGTGTATGAAAAAATCTTAGATGTGGTTACTAATTTGATGAGGAACGACATAATTTTTACCCTTACCAATATAAAATTGAGATATGTATAGTCTTTTTTGTTCTTTTTGATTTCTACATACACTATCATTTAGAAAAATTATTAATGAGGAATAATAGATACTCGAAAGTTCCACGTTGATAGGTAAATAGCATCGTCCTTATGACAACTTTTTTTTTTAGTCTGGAGATGTGTACTAATAAATAGTATAAAGTTATCTTCAGAAAGATTTTATAAACATTATTTGGTTAAGTTTTTTGCACAGCGGGCCAAGAAGTTTTCCCAAACCGAATTGTAGCACTCTATGGCATTTTTCAGCTGCTTTTTGGTCAAAAGGAACTAGCGCTTGGGTAGATTAGGTTACGGTTGTTCCAGTGGCTGCACTCATCCATATTACTGAGGGAGATACACTTAGGCCTAAGAGGACCCGTTGGTTCAATGTTTATTGCGTTAACCTAGAAAAAAAAAACAGTTTAATGAATCGTTGTAAATAGTTTCATCGAGCTTAAATCCGATGGACAGTCAAAATAGTACAGATAGGCGACATCGTTGCCGAAGTCCAGCCAGATCCGAGTACTGGCAAAGAAAGTATTCGATGCTGACTTTGAATAAGCAATAAATAATGTCCTCTAGGAAATACCAAAAATCTATGTCGAAACTCAAAAGATAAAAAATCTATATAAAAATTTTTTTTACAAAACATATATATGCAGTGGGCGCTTGTGAGGTGTGGAGTGGTTAGCAGTGCGCGCTACCACTTCGCAGGTAATGAGTGCAAGCCGAGTTACAACCAACATCAAAATATTAAAAACAAACAAATTTTTATTTTTATAATTACAATCGCACCGCGGCAAGCAATGGCAAACTTCCGAGTGTATTCTGCGGTGAAAAGTTTTTTTTGGAATTCAAAAGATCAAAAATATATGCATGTCCAATTTTTAAACTACCAAAAATGTCTTTCAAGTCTTCCATTCAAGCGTCCATACGCATTCTTTATAATTTTAATTTATTGTTTAAAAACTTTAAAGGAAACTCGTATTTCAAGTATGTATTTCCCTGAATCAGCTTAATTGCCTTCATTCATTGCCTCTTAAAAGTTTCTTTTAAAAACATAAGCAATAAAACACAAGCAACTTAATCGATAAGACCCCATTTTCCACCCTCAAAGTGAACTCTATCGCACAAAATGCTTAAGGCTGCCAATGGCATCATCAAATTTAACAGCGTCATACCAATAAGCTGCTTTTTTGCGCCATGCTCAACACGAATAAACTCTTAATTACACATAATTTATTTACTCAACTCACTACATTCTTTTAATTTCTCCATTCTTCTTCTTATTCTTCTTCTTCTTCACCAGGTGACATCATGGACATACTGGCGCTACTCAATTCCAGCATCAATTTTATACTCTACTGCTCGATGAGCCGCCAATTCCGCACAACATTCACCAAACTCTTCCGACCCAAGTTCCTGGACAAGTGGCTGCCTGTGGCACAAGACGATGACGGCGGCGGCGGCGGCATTGGCACAAACGGCCGGCTGCGCGGCGAGCTGGCCAGCAAATCGCATGCCATTGAACAGCAGTGTCTGACAACGCAGGTGACGAATGTGTAGCATACGAGAAGTCAGCTTCGTTGTTGTCGAGCGATGCCATCATATGGCGATGAGGAGACGAGTGCCGCAGCAGGTGCGGCAGATGGTGGCTTCTGCGGCTGGGGTGGTATGCTGGTAGGCAATGGGGCAAGTAAGAATGGCACACGTTGGGCGAATGGCCATAGCAGCGCGGGACGAGAAGGTAAGCAAGTTGTTGAGGCTGCTGGTGGAGGTGCGGACGAAGTGACCGAGTATCGACACAACAACAACAATTGCAGTAGTAGTACTAACCCAGATGACGTGAGAGAAACTTACACGGCGGCAGTGCAGCAGCAACGGCAACGACAATCGGGTATAAGCGGTTTGCGTAGCAGTAACCGCAGATACAGTCTGCTGCGTTGCATTTTATGTAATCTCAAACAAGGTAAACAAGGGCAGCCGCAACAACAACAACAGCAAAAAGCCGCACGACAGCAAACGGCGGAGGAGGAGGAGGAGGAGGGTGGTCAGCTGTATGCGCAAATACAACGAACACAACAAAGTGAGCAATCACAGTCACGGCCGCAGGCTATTGTTGTTGCAGTGGTGGTTGGTGCCTCAGTCGACCATCAAATACAACAACAAGAGCCACAGCTGACCGGCCACCAACCAGGCGGCAAGCAGCAGAGAAATGCAGCATCGACAAGCGGTGGTGGTGGTGGTGGTGCTGGTGGTGGTTGCGCTGGCGACGGCTTACGCGTACGTAATAGGTGCTTTGACGATTACAGAGGTGACAGCGTGCATGTTGGCGCTAACGAGGCACTGCTATAGACAGGAGTAAAGCGTTTGTTTGTGTTTGTTGATTGTTGCATACTTCAAGGCTGTTGTATTTGGTACTGTGTACGTACTCGTATGTATGTATGTACGAGTAAGTTTATGCGAAAATTAACTACGTTTTGTTTAAACTTTAAAGCGAAACTAAGCTAGTTATAGAGTTCTTAAATAAAAAAAAATAGAAAAATGGAGTTTTATTAAATAAGTAAGAGTTAGGCTGCAACATGTATGTAAGTACTAGCTTTTAGCATATGAAGAGCTGGTGATCTACAAATCAGAGTTTCATTTAATTATAGAATATATTATTTACTTAGGCATGTACATAAGTATAAATATATGTATAGTTGTTAGGTTAGTAATGATTTGGGTACAAAATCGAAACGCAGGAATATATTGGTGCTATGTTACGTTTCTTTAAGCATTGAAAAATTTGATATGTACCAGTTTCAACCCATGGAAACACATATATACATATATGTTTGTGCACATACTAGGAGTTAAGTTTTAAATAAATTAGAGATGGGTTCTTCATTAAATCTTCTAACCTTAAACAACCTTTCATGAGCTTCCCATCGCAGGTGAATAAAAAATACTGCTTTTTACGGGTATAACACTTAAGTTGTAGCATTTCAAAAATAGTATTTTTACATAAATTTTAATTCTATAAAGGATGCCGGTAGTATATCTATCCACTAAAAATATTTGTTCGAAAAGATTCGTCTTTAAAACGACAAAAAAAAAAATTAATTGGCTTGACAGTTCTAAACATTGCACTATGTGTAATTTGACACATTTTTGTGGCCAAAATTAATTTTGTGAGCAAACAAGTAGATTATTTAAAAGAACATCATGATTTTTAAATATTGGTATCCGATTTTCTTCATTTTCGCAAAAAAAAGTAGTAACCCTTGACGACCGACGGGTCAAAAGCGGCCACTCTTTAATTTGCGGTTTTATTGAAAAAATTTTAATGCAGTTTTTTCTAAATACTTATGTGTATAAAAGAAAAATGTACCATAATTCCATATAAAAATTATGCAGTGGCTACTTAAAAAGAAAAAATTGCCAAATTATATTAATTTCAATTGAAAGCCTGAATACTATGATTTTCTTAATTTGTCTGCTGAAAAGCTAAAAGGAGCAGCCTTTGTAGGAACAAAATGATAAACAGCCTTCTGTTTTCGCTCTTAATTGAGTTCCTTCCTATTGGCATAACAAATAATACCTACAAAAACAGCTATTTCTCAGAAAATGCCAAAAATCGCAACATGAAATTGACGAACTAGACTCAACATTCTTCATGTTTTTGATAGTCTAAGCACGCCCAATTACGGCCAACATTTCAAAATCTTATTCGAATATCACTTTTAAGAAAAAAATAATAATAATAATTTAAGGTTATGTCACCAGTATGTATTTTTCTCTCCAAAAAAAAGATTCCACAAAAAAACATATGTAGATCTTAAAAGCACTTACTTTTCTCTTTAGTCCCTAGATTTTGTTTAATTTTTTATACAATTATTAACTTAAATATGGACAACCTTTGGCCACATAAACTGATCAAATTACCCATAGTGCATTGGCATGGCAATTTTAGAACCAACGTTGAAAACTTTAGATTTTATTGTCGATTTCGGCAGAATATTCGCTAAGAACGTTAGATCCGCAACTTTTTGTTTGTAAGAGAAGCAAGTGTTTCTTTTAAGTTATTGCAAATGCTTATTCAAACATTTTTTTTACAAGTTTTCTTTTTACAAGAATATTATTCCATGATATCCTACTGGTACCGCCAGGAACCAACCAACCAAATTGGAAAGCGCTGCGATTTCAACAGAGACAGAGAATGCGTTCCAGTTTGAGTTTATTTCTGCACGAGAACCAAACGTAATGTCTAGAACGTTGCCTCAAAAGAGCCAAATGGAAACAAAAGTACTGAGAGCAGTTTTAACAGGAACAAAATGAGAACAAAAGGTTCGGAAACGTTTCCGTAAGGTACAAAATGCGAATGAGCCTTTCGGGAATATTCTCAAGTGGAACAGAATGAGAACGAAACTCTCGGGAACGTTTTTCAAATCAAATCAGAACAAAAGTGTTGAGAACGTTATGCTAGAGAACAAAACGAGAACAAAAGTTTGGAGAACTTAACGTTAAGAACAGGGGCGCACCGAGGAATATATTTTAGGGGGGCTTTTATATTTCTGAAGATATATCACCGGAAAATACTGAAAATTTGCTTCAGATAATACCCTCTTTAAAATACATTTATGCAAGTTTTATGTACAGTATGTAATAAATAAATAAACGTTTTAAAATTCATAAACTGCACTTTATTTACAGATTAACAGAACTCAAACGCTTTTAACCGACTTCAAAAAAAGGGAGGTTATCAATTCGCCGGGATACATAACTTTTTTACCTCGTGAACCGTTTTCAATAATCCTTTTTTTATTAGAAAGCTAGTACCTCAAGGTTCGTCCCGTAATTTGTTTTAGAGATCCGATGATTGGATCATGAAGAAATTAACGGTACCCCTAAATTTGAATATGAGAATTGAAGTCGGTTGTGTTCTTTCCTTAAAAACTACTTGTTTAATAAAAAGTTCTCAAAAACTCAAGATGCGCTCAACTTTCCAAAGTACCTAATAAAAAATTTTAAAAAAGAGTCAGTAAAAATAAATTTATTGATTCCATGAATTTTTGCACTTCTATGTTCATTTTTTCGATTTCTGGTTTTCGATAGAGATGGTGATTTTTCACGATTGCTAAATTTTTTTAATATTTCAAATACCGAAAAAATTAACTGAACTCTCAAGAAAAACGAAAAATTCATATAAAACGACGGACGAGAAATGGAAAAGAAATTTTCTTCTACCAAAATTTCTTAAATCAGTTTGCAGCTCTCAAGAAAAAAAATGCTCGTATATTTATTCCCTCATGAAAATTTACAGCAAAAGCAAAGCGCTTTTTCAAGCAACAGAAATTATAATAAATATTTCTTATAATTTCCTTGAGAGCTGGATTCTTAGCTTTACGATACATATTGTATTTGAGGTTATTAGCTTTAGGGGGGGGTTTGAACCCCAAAACCCACCCCTTGTGTGCGCTAATGGTTAAGAATGAGAGGGAGAAAAGTTAAAACCGACTTATACAAAGGCAAGTCTGATGAGAAAAAAGTGCTTAGCCCAACCAATATTAAGCCGTACAGCATGGGCTCCTATTTGGCATTGTTCGATCAAAACATCTATCCATACCACAAATTTTGCGCTTAGTCAGCTGAAGAGCCTTCTTTGCCCCTCTGTATTCTTTGTACGTCGGGGATTTCCTTTAAATCTCGCTAAGACTACTAAGAGTTCATTGTTCAACAGCAATCCTCAGGTTGCCCCAGGAAGTTCCGGTCGGAAGGGCTTTGCAACTTTGCAAGCTCCACAAGTATGTAAGTACAGTCATTTTGAAGTAGTCTGAGAGTTACCAAGGAAGAAAAAAGTCATTGTTAGAGCCGTGATTGCCGCTTGGCTGAAACAAGCGTGTGTATCCCTGTATAAAGTTCCCAGTGCGGGTGAGATCCGCTCCTCGATTGACCGCCAGCGAAAAATACTAATATAAACTCATAGTACCAAGCAATTGAATCCGAATGAATGCTTTTCAAATCGCAATACAGAGAAGGCCCGCAGAGTCTCTAAATAAATCTACTTCGGATAGTTTCTAGCTGTATGCTCCTTCCCAACTCGGTCAGTCAACTACGAGCTCTCTTTCAGAGCCTCCTTCCCTCCTGCTCACTCTTTAGAGGCTGTTTATAGGTGAGCATCTATTTTGGGGCTAGCAACAATTTCTTCAGGTATAAAAAAACACTTTTAAATTTAGAAAAGAAAAATTGTTATCACTTCAAATGCAAAACTCCTCGCTCTCATCTCTAAAAAGCACGAATTTAATTTCAATGTACACAAACGATCTGTAAGTGGGTTGAAATATTGTTGGTATTTATGAAAATTTGTTATGATTCAGTTATTCACGTGTATGTATGTACTTAGGATTTAAGAAGGGTAGGTTTCAAAAATATGTTAAAATAATGGCTGTAGTATTTTGTATTTACAAACAGATTTAAAATTTATATTAGTTAAAGAAATATATTTATTCTTAACAACTTTTGGCGTTTAAT